TCCTTTCCTTTGTGAGGATTGCCACGCACGATAAAAAAACCAAAGAAATAATAAAAAAAACCAGAGAAATGTTAAATGTTTACATCTACAACATTCAGTGATTTTTTTTCTGGACATCCTTACAATATAGATTGCTTCTAATATGTGTCTGATGCCTTCGCTGAGTGTCTTGTCAAAAGCAGTAGAATTCACCGGGTTTTTTTTTACAGTATTACTTATTTTGACTATAGAAAGGCCTCTGTAATGCCTCTTAATATTGTATTAGTAATACTGTTGTATATTTTATGTCCACGATTACAGCTTCTAGTCATACCCATAACTCATGTATAATAACATGTCTTGTCTATGCCCTTTGTTTCTGCAAGACACCATTGTTTTGGGTTTATGTGTATTTCTATACTCCATTTGTTTCACACAGATTAAAATTTATCGGCATTATTATCATGTTTTATTTTAGCCTAAGGTCAAATAAAAATAGTGAATGGGGAGAAAATGGTACTCCATATGGAGAGGCGTGTGTTACGCGCTGTGAAAATATATGTAGGGGGGCAGCCATGGCAAGTATTTCTACCACCTGCCACCTTTTAACAAAAAAACTTCTGTATACCAGTTATAACCAAATTTATCCAACAATATTTTGTGTTTTGAAGCTTTGTCCCATATCCAGATATTGGTTTGATTTTTTTTTTTAAAAATGGTTTGTACATCTGTGAATCAGAAATATGCGATAAAAACAACAAATATTAAATGGCTTCATTATTATTGGCATCATATTTATATTGAACATAAGACTAGAATTAGGAAAATATTGGTATTTCAATGGTATATGAACAATAGGTACAGAAAAGCCACATCTAGGCGACAAAGGGTTCTTGTATTCGCTTCATTTAATTTGAAACTAATAATAATAGAACTGAAAGTCATGTTAATAAAATATTACTATATTTAGTGGATCATGTTTATAATTGATGATGTTCAATTCTACTAAAAACGATATTAACTGACTAGTAATGAAATTTATAAGAATAAATTGTCAACAACGTGAAAGGAAATGATGAATTTGTTTGATCATTACCAAATAATTAAAATAGCCACACCTATTTAATTCACAACTTCTCTCCCATTCATGTTGTTGGAATAAAAAAGAAATATTTGCACCAATTTGTTTCCAACCTCCCCCCCCTCCCGCTCCCCGCTCCCCGCATTTCATGTTTAAATGAAAATCTACATGTGTTGTTCTTTGCATGTTTTTTTGCCTCAAAATCAGTATTCGAACCACGGTTACCATAATTTGGGGGTTATGAAATCTCCCCCAGCTGTGACCCGTTTCCCCTCGTTACCCGATTTAATTTAGACTCCTTTGTGCTTTTTTATTCTTTTGTTGCCGCTGATTAGCGACAGAAAACACGGGTAAAATTCATTTGTGCATGTCTGCTTTGTAGCATCATAGTCGTCGCGTCGTGTGTGTGACATTTGATGTCAACATGCATAAAATTATTTGTTTACACTAAATTCAAATATTGTCTGTGCTATGGCTGTATCATATTAATTATATAACAAATATTGTCAACAAATTAATTAAAAGATTTAGTTGATATTGACACTTCTAATGCTATAAATTCTACTACTGTTTGCTATCATTGGCAAAATCCTATATATTTATTTATTTATTTATTTATTTATTTATTATATTATATAATATAATAATTCATTTGTGCATGTCTGCTTTGTAGCATCATAGTCGTCGCGTCGTGTGTGTGACATTTGATGTCAACATGCATAAAATTATTTGTTTACACTAAATTCAAATATTGTCTGTGCTATGGCTGTATCATATTAATTATATAACAAATATTGTCAACAAATTAATTAAAAGATTTAGTTGATATTGACACTTCTAATGCTATAAATTCTACTACTGTTTGCTATCATTGGCAAAATCCTATATATTTATTTATTTATTTATTTATTATATTATATAAATTTTTGCAAAAAAGAGCAAAAATGTTTTTGTGTAAATTTAACTCTGTGATGTAATTTTTTGTAAAATTTTATTTTGTAAATATTCAGGTTAAGGTTAAAAAATAACAATAATATATGTGAGTAATTTGATACTATTATGCATTATGTTAAATTAATTTCTTTTTCAATCACAGTTATAGTTTTTGTATTTAAGTATTCATAAAACAAAACTAGCTCTGTTGGCATTTGCTAAAAAAACAAACAGGCATCACTCACAGTATTGAGTATATTTTGGAAATTAATCAAATACTGTGATATTTTTATATTACCAACATTAAGATGATGTTGTTTATATATATATATATACTGTATATATGTGCGAATGAAGATTAATCCAAAGATCAGTGCATGCTAAACATAGAAATACCTGTAAATTTCCTAGTTACAATGATAAAATAACAATAATATTATAATGAACTAAGTTGTGTTCATCTTTTGTGGAACAAACCTGGTTCAATGTCATGATCACATAATACATTCTTTCAATTAAAATAGATAGAAAACAAATCCAAATCAAATTAAATGAGAATGACCACCTGTTATCAACCACTTTAATTTTGTCTGTGGCAATAACTAAGTAATTGGGCTTGGCGGCTTTTTTTGTGTGCAGGAATCAACTTCAATATATTTTTGTTTTAAAAGCCTGTTCCGTTATTTTCATTATGGTTGAAATCATCCACACTAGTTGGAATGTTTTTTTTTTCTTTTGTGAAGTGTCGCAATCATTTTGTGTAACATCCGTTCTATTCTTTTGTGTTGCAATATTATGAAAGGGAAATTGTCAAATGCTGGAATGCGGAATTTATCACTTTTCTGTTATCAGACAATGTATTTCAACCTTGCATTTTTTTTTTAATTCCTGCTGTTAGGTGCTGGTGGATTAATAGTGTTAGTAAAGTAATTTGAGGAATTAATGATTAGGAGTGTGCCCATGCTAGCATACTGGAACATTGTGGTTTGATATCACATGACCAGCTACCCGTCATTAATAAATAAATAGAAAATATAATTTCTGCCTTGTTGTAGATGTATTCATAGTTTAAAGAATGACATCGGCCAATGTGCTGTTCCTGTCTTCAGTGTGTATTAAAATGTTATCTCTGCAAATTCATTGTTGCTATGAGAAGCAAACTTTCTCTTCCTCTAAAAAAAGTCTGTGTATGGACATCGAAATAAGTAAATTATCATTGACTTTGTTAATCAGACAGGTTCTGTATTTTATTCACTTTTTTGGTCTTGTACCTCACACTGTGCAAGTATGCATCAAATAACATTCTCTCACTCATACCTTCATACATGTATACCTGTAGAGTTGCACTGTAGTGGCAATAATGTCGGCAATCTCTCTTCAGAAGATCAATGAAACGCATAGTGCTGCAATATATTTATCGATGGGCTTGTCCTTTTTGTGACACTTTGCTACCACCTGGTATTTTTATCATTTATACGTAACTGATGATTTAATTGTTTTGATTAAAGGTAATCGTGAATCGTTATCAGTAGTTAGTATAATTGTCTATTAGAAGTAAAAGGTTATACAATACACAATTCTTCATGTTTTATCACTGACTTCATTGTTATATTTGTCTTGTGACACATAAATCTGATTTTACCGGTAACTTTTTTGATGCCGTAATTTTGCATGCCGGCATTTTGTAAATTATTTACCGGTACCCGTAATTTGTTGATAGATTTTGGACAAATGGATTTAATTTTTCAGTGCTTCCAGTTCTTAATCAACAGTTTTGATTAATTAAATATATTCAAATTATGGAGGTGTATTTTAAAGGCTATCCAAATGAGTAATATTCATGTTAATGTATAGCAGTATTGTATTTGTTCTATTAGTAGAGCATTCATTTATGTATATTACAGTTTCTATGTTACTATGGTCCAAATAAGTAATATTTTAATGATTGAGTTTACATCCAATGTGATTTTTTGTTGATATGTGCTTCTCTTAGAGGTGAGCTTCTAATAGAATAAATTGGTATATTTGATTCAGTGTTTTGCATAAACTCAGATATGTATACTGTATTTACTCTATTAGTTACGCGTACATTATATATATAGTGTCTATAGTTGTATTTTAATGATCCCGTATCCTGCGCTCCTGTAAGAGGATGCGCTAATAATAGAGCATATACATTATTGTGAATATTATTGGAACCAATCACCAAGTCTTAAATTGCATTAAGTTCTTTACTGCCTGTACCTTCACATAATTCTTTGCTGACTACACCAATAGGGTCCACCCACACACCAGACAATTGTCAGAAATCAATCAGGAATTATGCCACATTTAAGTCTGTTTTCTTTCTCCATTATTTGCAGGGGACCACCAGATTTTGATACTATTACAAGTCCCAAATCATCTGAATTTTACAAAAGAGTTAAACAGTTACAGGAGAAAGAGAAGGAATCCAGTGGTATGTTAACTAGCCATCACCAATCAGACTTTAGTAGCAGGCCTAGTGGATATGGCGTCAAAATGAGGCTGAAGAAAACAGAGCGGTAAGAACTCAACTTGAATTTGTCTCAGATCTAACCACAATTTTTCCCCAAAAAATTTCAATCAGGACCTGTAACCATAGACAAATTGTCCATTAGTTTCAAAATTTAAAAAAAAATTAGAAAATTACATAAAATTGAGCAAAATTGATGTAACAACATTTTGGTGGGAGGGAAAAAATTATGTGTAATGCGTCAACCTATGTTAAACCAGAAACTTTTCCAAACATCTTCTCCTATGTACATGCTATAAAAAAAAACCTATTAACCTACCAGTTCCTTTGTTGTTCAGTTCAGACACTGGTTGCAGTGTATTCAGTGTCAAAATGTCATTTCTCTCAGTCAGATATTCTAGGAATCTTTTCTGGTAATAAAAATGTTGAACAAAGGAGGAACAATCTTTATATAGAATGTGTATCTTTGATATGTTGAATCGTTATTCTCTATTTTTACTTCTCATCCATAGGTCACCATCTTACAGACCAAAGTCATGGCACCATAGTCATGAGGGCCATCAACAAGACCCTGAATTTAAAATTAAACAGAAGCAACATGAAGAGTACAGAAGAGGATTTCACACGGTGGAAGATCAACCCCAATCTGGTCACTGGAATGGGAGAGATTCATTTCGTTCCTCGATGCGCAGTAATACATCCCGATCAATGTCCAGTTTGAACAGCTTTAAAGGAGGGTCTACTTCCTCTTATAGGCAGCCTGGATTTGTGAAACAAAAGGCAATTGAGTACAATGATATGAGTGGGAAAACAAATTCATATCGACTTCCAGCAAAGGATGCTGGGAGCAGAGAAGTGCATGAAAGCAATAGGGATTTTGAGAAAGTGCAAAGGGATGAGTATTACTATAGTAAACATTTGCCAGGTAAACAATTTAATGATGTTAAGCGGGATTCTGATAGTAGAATCCCGGACAAAGTGAAACTTGGAAATAATCATAAATTTGCCAGTGTTATAGAAACGCGTGCTATTCCAGTGCAGCTTGTGCATGCCCAGTCTGTGGACTCGGGAAAGCAAGCGCAGAGACATCACAGGGCAGAAGTATCCAAAGATCTTAATGTGGGAGTGAAAGGACCATCTGATATTAAAGGGAGAGTTCAGTCCCCACAAAAAGTAATGTGGGAACAGTCTGGTGACAGAGTTGAAAGTGAGAACCAGCCTAAGTTGAAAAGGACAGAACTGACGTGTATGATATCACCTGATATTAGACATCCCAAACCTGATGAACCTATCTTCAAATATCCTGATCAGAACTCATCCCCAGTTAATCAAGGTTATACAAATGAGAGGCCACCACCATTGCCACCAAAAAAAGAAGTGTCCCCACCAATCCCACCGCAGCGTGATTCCAGTATGAAGGCTGTCCACAAATGCCATAAGTCACCTACATGGCCAGCAATAGTTCAGAGTAAGGTTGTCATAGCTCCACAGGCAGACACCGTACATCTGAGATCAAACACTTGGAACAATGACACTTCTCCGCAACATGAGTGGCCGGAACATCAAGGTTATAAGGCACATATCAAAACACTGCCATTAGATGACGATTCTGATACAAAAACATTTGCTTCTCAGGCTTTTTTAGAGAAAGAGCCTAAGCCTTACACTGACAGTTCCCCAAAGACATTGTACCATCCAGTTCATCTCACTGCGTCCGGTAGTTATGTGATTAATGGCAAACAGCACAAATACCCGCCCAGCTCAAAATTTGAGTTGCATACTGCAACTGTCTACCATGTTGCGATGGACGAACCACTCCTTGCTGAGAAACTAGAACATGGAGATGCTAAATACACTAAGCCTTATGACTATACTGCAAAATACGATGTGCCTTCACCACCCACACGAGACATTCCATTTGAGAAACAGAATTTGAAAGCAGAAATGGTGAATAACTCACACAGCACGCCTAGTAATCTGGACAAATCACCGGAGAGATTCTGGTCACCTGAATCAATGAATAATTCTATAAAGAGTACTGGTAGTCAACATGACACAAGTCTAAATCAATATGCATCCTATTTGGAACAAAATCTTACTGAACAAGGCTACAGCGTCCAACCACATTCACTCCCTAATTCTTCTGTTAGTGAGGAGGTCAAAAGGTTATCTGGCAAATGTCAAAGTCCAGAAGCATTACATAAAGTTAATTCCATTCCTAATCCCAGTAGGGAGTATCATCCAACTGAAAATAGACTTGTTTATGATTTGCATTCCCCAAGTGAGAGGGAAGTTGCAACAATCAATGGTACACATGAAGGGCCTCCTGTGGAGAAAATGTCTGGTACTGGTCCACATGAGAGAAAGCCAGGTGAAGACAGATGGCATCTAGATAAAACTCCTGTGTCAACTGCTAGAACTTGGAAGAGCCCTGGAGATTTTCAGGTTACACCTGGAATGGGAACTAAAATGTCCAAACGCCATGCTATAAGTCCAACTGAGGAAACAGTAAAACGATTTGAAGATCTTAGTAATGATAAAAAATACCCTCCAGACTTAGTTCCAGAAAACAAAATGGCAAACCCACGGAAACAATCCAGTGACAAAATGGCATTTGTAGAGTTGAAAGTTGAGGCTGATACTAATAAAGAAGAAGAAGACATCAAATTAAAATCGCCCCCTTTACGCAAGTCTTCACCGTTTACAAAACTTATTGAGCAGCCATCAAAAGGATCACCAGGTCGGCCTTCTATCTTTGATATTGAATCAGAGAACCCTTTCAGGAGAAATTACCATACGCATTCTTCAAGTTATGACATTTTTAATCCAGAAAGTCTTGAGACTGAGAAAAATAATGAACAATTTATGTCAAAAATGCAAAGAAACAGTCAGACACCATTCAGCGATAAGTACAAGCGTGGAGAACCCATTGAGCTTCAAAAGGAGAAGAAAGAAAGAGAGAAACAAGAACATTTAAAGCGTCAGAACTTGAAAAATGAAGGAAAAGATGCTGACTCTCATTCTATTATGTCGCAGCTGCAGAAAGAACATCGCCAGACCCATGAAGGATTCGCAAAGGTCAAAGATTTGTCATCAAAAGCCAAGACTAGGGAAGACTTCAATAAAGAAGCCAAAAACCCTGAAATCAGTAACAAAAATAATGTTAGAAGAAGCGAGTTTTTCAACAAGCATTCTGGAAAATCACCTCCAAATGTACAAGATAAACTGTCTCCAAATGCTGATGTAGGTTTTGGCAAATTTGATCGGAACAGCCCCAAAAGTGCTACCATGCCAGCGAGATCGGCTTCAGCTGAGGTTAATAAGTGGTATGACCACGTGAAAGCAGATGACTCAAATCCTGCTCGGCCCATATCATATGCATATGATCCAACTTCTCCAAGCAGAGTTTTTCCAGGTGTTCAACAAGATGATGTTAAGCCACTGAGTGATATTGAGGAGAACCCTGGCCAAAACAGACCTAAAGAAAAGCGTCGATTGTCAGATCCAAGAAGGCGATCAGATCCCAAGAGGAAGTCTGATCCAAAGAAGCATTCGGATCCTGAGAAGATGTTTCACAAGTCTCTTGAAATAGATACTTCAAATCATGAAAGACAACATCGTAATTCTGATCCGTACAAAGAAGAATACAGAAATCGTCAAAGATTATCTGATCCTAAGAAGGAACGTAATCTGTCAGATCCCAAAAGACGACATAGAGGGTCCGATCCTAAAATGGAGAAACCTGATCATCGGTATACCAAGTCTGATTCAGATCAGTATCAGAAGATTGCCACAGGAGACCAGAGACATAAACATTCAGATCCCACCAGTCATATGAAACGAAGGCAACCGTCGGATCCTGAAGAACGTAGAAAAGTGAAAGAAGCCTTGTTTCTTTTCTATAGTCAAAAGACTGGAAAAAGTGAATCTGCAGAAAGCACATCATCATTAGCCAGTTCATGTAAACTGCCAAGTTACTCAGACAGGAATCGACCAGTTAATATGATACATGGTATGTCAGAGCAACCCATACCACCAAAGAAAAGCTACAGCACATCGTCCTTCCGACGTGGCTCTGTTGAAAACTCTGTACCCATGATGCAAAGAGCCAACTCAGAAGTACTGCGTCCTAGTTCCATGCCGCCGAATGCCTATTCTTCAAACGAGATCAAACGACAGGGGTCACTCGCAAGTCTTGCATCACATAGAGATTCAACAAATTCATTATCATCACAGAGGGATAGGCCGAGCAGCGGTGGATCGCCACCGGGATCATTAGCAGGGAGTAAACAGAAATCTCCACATCAGTCGCAAAGCTCTATTTTGGGTTTTGCTGCCCAACAGCATCACAGGCACCAGAGTAGCAACAGTCTTGATAAGACTGCCTCACTGCCAATGTATGGTAGGGTACCCAGAGTTCCTACGGTGTCGACCAAGGACATTTATCAGCTGTATGCCTCTAGAGGTTCTCAGCAATCACTGAAAACTGAGCCTGTCACACCAAAACCAATGCTTGCAATACACCCCATGGTTCCTGCGCAGGACAAAGCTACAACACTGCCGCAGCAGAAACCCAGAAGTGGAGACCTGCAGAAACAGAAGAGCCCAGTAAGTAGTTGGTCACCTAATCTGGACCGGGATTCATTACCCAGGAAATCCAGTGAAACGTACCAGAAAGCTGCCTTTGCACAGACACTTCCATCACCCCTGCAGGTGGTTACCACCCCTAATAAGGTTAATGCCATGTTCCATTTCTCCACTTTCCTCCTGGCTTGCTATAATTTGACCTCCATGCTATAATAGTCCACCATTTCATTAGTCACCAATTCATTTGTTTACTCATTAATTCTTCGAGATGCTGTAATTTTTTTCCTGCCAATGATTTTTCGTAAATTTGTATATCTTATAATTTTTTTTGTTATTTTTGGAACACCAAATTGACATAATTTTTTTATTGGCCCAAGTTTTGATCACATTTTTAAAAAAAAATTATGGACAGTTTACTTTAGCATTTGAAGAATTAATTTTCACCTAAAGTTAAAGTTGCACTCTGGAAGTTTAGCACCATACTATTTTGAGGAATCTGTATGCAAAATTCTCCTTCTGCTGCTTACACCAGAATTCAATATTTACCCCAGTCAACTATTTATTGTGTGATTTTGCAATTTCTGACCTTTTTGTTGTCATCACTGTATAGTAGTAAACACTTCACACAAAAAAATCACTTATAGAAACCAAACACTGGTTTTATCATAGTCACATTTTAGTAAAATATCTATCAGAATCTTTAAGTAGTCTAACTGTGACTGTGACATTCATGAACCTCCTTAGGCAAGTTGGAATTATTCTCCAACTCAGTTCAGACCAAATTGTCATCAACCATCAATATTTGAATTCGCTTTTGATAATATTAGTTTTCTGTTGGTGAGTGCCTTCCATGGTTGCCACATTATTAACGTTCTCATGACTGAAATAACCGCTTTAAACTACATATTTCCGCTGACTGGAAGTGAATCTATGTGGCTTCACCCCCCCTCCCCTTATTTTTCACATTACCAGGGAACCCGAAACTTATCTATTTGGAGAGACATTCCATGGGGGGGGGGGGGGGTTACTTAGAGTGAACTCAAAGCTTCTGAATTGTCAAAACTGGTGTATGTGGTGCTGTTTTAACACTCTCTGCATCCCTTGTTAAACCCTCATCCTGGCTGCTAATCTTTGAGGTGTGTTGCATGACTAGACGTTTACCTCTGTGTGTGAATAACCAGTAGGACTGTAGCAAAGACACATATACTGTAAATCGTTTTGTTTTCATGCCAGACAAAGAAATCAGTTAAGGAAACTAGCATAATTTTGTAGCTCATTGGGATATTGACAGTGTTGTCATAGTAACTATCATGAAATTCACAAAAAATTGAAAATGAAAATCATACTTTTTACAGTATATTTGTTTTCTCAGTTGTTGTTGCAATTACTCACTTCCCCTTCATACATTATTACCGTAGTCTCATTAATTTGTCCAATCTAGTTTTAACATTTATATTAATAGTGTACTTTGTTTTGAGAAGTGTTTTAATTTTGTTATTTTTAGTTTTCATCTTAAACTCCAGTCACTGCCATTCCTATCATTCCCAACCTACCTTGCATCTCTGACACCAACCAATCCACCCACTCTCATCGCCCTTACACAGTTTGTGCAAAGACAGTATTTGGTGAAAAAATATCTAGCCCCAATTAATTTCTCAAATGACTTTGTAGAGCGCCCTCGGTGTTTATTTCAAACATTACTTTCCATGAGGGTGCTATGACAGAAAGTAAATATTTTGAGTTTCATTTTGATTCTTCCTGCATGTGTTGTTAGAGTTTATCAATTCGAGATTTTAATTATTTCAGAGACCATTTTAAAAAAAGTGAATGTGGGTAAATAATTGACAAAAATAAAAGTCTACATAAACTAAGTATATAACAACATGGAAATTACTAATATAAGAAAAAAGAAGAAAATTATTTAATTGAAATCAATTAAATAAACTCAAATACAAACTGTATATATTTTACATATATTTTTTCTTTTTCTTAGCATGTGTAGTGAGTGGATTATTTTCTTTATTTCAATCGACAAATCAGAATAAATTGACATCATTTCCCTCTGCTGCTACAGGTGCATCGTGCTGAGCTTGTGACTCTAGTCCAACCTATGTCTAGCGACTCAGACAGCGACAGCGGTTCACATTATGAAGATGAAAAATTGCCAGAAATGAGGAGAATCAGTGATGGGGAAGTGTTTAAGTTCCCTCCATCAGCACCGGAAGAAAATACCTCTCCAAAGTAAGTGAATATTTTGTTGACAAATACTGTAAAAACAAAGTAAAAGTACTTCTCAATATCCTTAGCTTATGTATAAAGTTAATTCCATCTTCATGTTCATTCGTTAGATTTTTTTATTGTAGATTTTAAAGATTTAAACAAAGAAAATTTACGGTCATGAGTTGAGGGATAAAAAAAAATCTTTTAAAAATTAAGATATATATAAAATCAGTAATTCCCAACTCAACACAGTTGTCGTGCTAATAAGTTTCACAATTACTCCAGTGTAAGGCCAATTTATCTTTGAAATGCAACAAAAATTGCTAAATATTGACCCGATTTATTGATGTTCATTTATCATTAATAATTTAAAATTGGTAATCAGAGACAAATTGAAGATGACCTCTGCTCCACAACCTTTTCATCTGAAACACAAACTTCTTCACTTCATCAAATTTTTTAGTCAATCATACTAATTTAACCATAGCCACATGTCAATTTTTGGGTATCCTTCGCTTTCTCAGAATTTTCTATGTTGCCATAGCAACTACTGCTTGCTAGAAATTGCAAGAATGCTCTTTCATACATTCTCAGAATTTGTCGTCACAGGAGACTGATTTACACCGGATGTTCTAGATTTTTCCAACCCCAGTGAATATGAGGTTACAACAAACTACTACCTTCTTATCTTATGTCTTTGACTGAATACTTTTCATCCTGTCACCACTACTATTTATTTCCGCCAACATTTGATTCAGATTCCCTCTAAAGTTTCCCCCAATCATATTTTTTTAACCACATGGAAGGGAACTTTGCATTTCTTGCATGTTTTGTGGTGTGGTCTCGCATGATTCGATGCAGAGGGTTGTCATTAATTATCTGTGAAAAAAATTGCTCTCTGCAAGGTGATGGAGGTTCATTACGAATCTAATTTTAAAAATGTATATCGAGAGTTTCATTTCCTGTTCCTGTTCCTGTTTCTGCTTCAAAAATCAGAGATAATTTTTTGTTTTCATTTTCTCTACTAAACATAAAATGTAGTTTCTAATTGAATTATTCAAATACTTCATTTTGATTAGTTCATCAAACAATACATATATTGTTCTTAAATATAAGTTTATTCACAGTCTCTCTATCACTGTGGTTTATTCTAATCTAATTGATATTGACCAATCTCGTGCATGTTATGGCAACAATTCACAATGATGCTGTTGTCAATTTAATTTGGGTTATTTGTATATCTTAAAATACATTGTACATGTATTAACTTATTTACGCATACAACTTTTACTGGGTAAACATCTCTGTGTAGTAAGTTATACTGTATTTGATCCAATAGAAGTGAATGGAGTAAATAACTTAGTACATAGAATTTTATCACAAATCCAAATAAGTAGCCACTCACTGCTGCTATGTATAGCAATAAAAACATCCTTCAAAACAGAAATGTTTATAAAAACAAGTGTTCAAGCAATTGTTATTTCCTCAGTCAGTATTTATACTACTTAGTTACAAATTACAGTCAGTTTTCGAAAAACAAATCCGCATTCCATTTTTTGCGCCAAGATTTTGATTGAGAACTGTAGCCAATGGAAAAATCATCTTCTCCAAAATAAAAGACAAATATATAAAAAAAAAAAAAATATACAAGATGATGAACCAGAAATTTTATTATTCACTGAACTAAATACAGTTCAAGACTGTCTTTCAGTTCAAGGACAATTTGTCTAATATTCATGAGAGGAAAACTTACAAAGAGAACACCACCAGTGTTTGTTAGCTCAGCCATGAGATTAGCTTGGTAATTAACTTTCTTAATTATCTCAGAGGAAGTCTTGTGTATGTTAAACCAGATTTAATTTGGTCGGATTATAAAGTCCTGTCATCTCCACTGGTATTTGGAATTTGTCCCAATTCCAAGCTGCCGGAAGTGGTAGTCTGATACCCTGCCCCATGTAGACAGTCAGTGTAAATGTATGTTAATGAAAACAGGTTTTTACTGTTAGTATTCTGGGTTGTCTTCCCTGTAAGATTTTTTGATTTTTAATGCAATTTGGTAGGACAAATTTGATTGACACTGATAATGATTTTAACAAAAATGTATATATATATATATATATATCATAAATAGTACCCTTCATTATTTTTTTCACTTATTAATTGATAATTTCTAAATAGGTAATAATTACCAAAAAAAAAGGTTTTGAAAACAATAAAATTAAATTTCTCAATGAAAAAAAATTTCCTGCATAATAATATATTATCATGTCGGAAACCTGTGTTGCTGACAGTCTGTGAATCAGTTATACTTTTTCCATGGAAAAACGATCCGAAACACATGTGGAATTTGTAATAAGAAATCAACTTGTCATCCACCTGATTAAAAAAAAAAATACATCACATCATGATTGAAATGGGACCACATGACCTTTCTCTGAAACCATGTGACTGTTTTCCTCTTGCTTGATTGGTCAGCGCAGTGTGACATCACTGGGTTAGTTCATTCCAATCTCCTCTGTCACGGTTGTTTAGTATTAATAGACTTAGTGGCCTGTGGCTAGTCAATATTTGTTGCAACACACAACAAGCTTTCATTCCAACTTCCTATCTGTTGAGTTGAGAATCACCTTATTCCTGAGCTAAATTTTATACGCAAGGCTTCTAAGTAAGTGTTTTAAGTTACTATCATGAAATGCATGTTTGGGTGAGAATCCTTTATATTATGTCTGTTATAATACAGAGCAGGTTACATTTATTCATATGAGACTTGAGGTACGTTTTAGGGCTGATTTTAAAACTTGTGAATTTCTGTATTTTAGCTATCCCACAAATTGTAATATTATGTGACCTTGAACTTCTATCCTCAAACACAATATATGTCTGATTTTCAAATTCAGTTTTGATTATGTGATTATGTAAACAAATCTTTTACATATGTCATTCTTGTCATCAGCATCAAGTCTGTGTAATTGTTAGTCGACTCTGTTGTGCAGGATATTTAGACTGCATGATATCCCACACTGTGCAGACAAATATTATTACTTATCATACTACAGCTTTGTTCAAGTATGTTTCATACTATCCAGTGTTTCTTGTTGATTATTCAACATCAAATGTTATTGACTCAAGTAAAATAGGGACAGTCACCTCCCATGACACAGACATACTGTTTTCTCATCATCTTGGGATGGCACTTCCTTATATGGGCTTATCTAGTTTGCATATAGAATGTTTTCTAGTGTAGTTTATCAAAATGCATTCGAGATGAATTCCATTTTGAAATGCGGAAGTTGTGCAGATACTGTATATTTGTTAAAATATATATAAATCTGGATGTACACTATTTGGAGTAAACTGTTTAGCTGACAAAGGGATGGTTCTTAAGAGCAGGAACGTGACTTCAACTGTGAATTATAGATCTGGTGCTAAACACTGTCAAAACAAGATCACTGATTTATGGGGTACGACTATAGACTGGCTGAGCTGCATAATGTTGCTGTGTTACTGAGCTATTTCAAATATCCATCTTAAAATAATATAGGTAGTTGCTTTCTAATGATTTATAATTAGCTTTTGTTTTGTCTGTTTAATTTGGTTATCAAATCACAAGCTGTGTCACTGCTTTTTTTGAGATTGATTAATATGCAAATTATATTAATTTGAATAAGATTGCATACTGTTATCAGTTGACATTTCAGCTCAAACTAAAATAGAGTTGGTGCATAGGAGGTGAGTGCTCAGACACAGTCTCTCTATAGAGGGACTGTGGCTCAGATTTCCTGTTTGGGGTTGTCATAGTGGATAATGTAGCTGAACACTAAAAAAAATATAAAATTTTTTATTGGTTGTAAAAAAAAAGACTTACATGACTTTTGTGAGAGTCTGATGACTGATCAAGTTGACAGTAAAATCTATCATAGAGGTTGTACAAGTATACTGTAAAACATGTTGAAAAAGCCACATGCAATTTTAGCAAATTGTGGTAAAATGACGTAATAGTGAAATGTTGATTTAGCGAATCTTTCTTGTCATTGTTGATTACCTGTTTTCACAATACTTGTCTGTCGCGTGCCAAAACAAATGCGCAGTTATCACCTTCATAAAAACAAAGGAAAACTGTCAAGTGTAATAAGGAAACGCTCCAGATTTTTATGTTCCTGATTACTGTATACAAATCCCCAAGCCTTGGCCATTTTGAATTTATAGTAAAGTCATTAGCGACATCTTGAATTAGTGAATCAGTTCTCTCACTTAATTTGCTAAAAAGACATGCTCTTAGCCTGTGCATGGCCTTTGTGTCGCCTTTAATCACTAACTGCATTCAGCAACATATTGACAATTCTACATATAACTGTAATTTTTGTCATTTCTGTATTGATCGTTTCACTTCTATAAGTTTTATTCTTAGAGGAGGGTATTGATGTTTTCCATTGCAGTACACTTATAGCCTACGACTGCAGATTATTGGCAGATTATGAAAAACATCATTTTATAATTTAAAATTCGTGTTAATATATGTATCACTCTAAGTCTGTATGTATGTTTAATTTTTCTTGGTTCTTCAGGTTAACAAATGTTTTCGATTTGAAAGTTGAATGATGGATCTCTTCCACTTGATATCTTGTATCTCTCTGTCAAATTCAGGATCAAATCAAATTAAAAACTATTCTGTTCTTTGAAAATAAATTTGTCTTTGATACCTACACTTGAAGAAAGACGCATATTTTAAGAGCTGTTGCTCCCAGTGGGGCAGGTGTAATGTAACGTGCTGTACGCTGAAGTACTGTGAATGGAAGTTATTGTCAGCATGTTAATTAATACATTCCTGGTGAATGTTTTAAACAATTGGATTTGTTGGCTGTGAAATGTGGTTATTAATAAACAAAGAACTAACAGGAACGTTGGGCAGTGGTTATAACTACAATTGAAATGTGGAAAAGGGCGAGGTTTAAAAATGAAATAATGAAGTGCTGAAAGTAGCTGTCCTGTTAAATAAATAATCTAAGATCAGAGTGTAAAATATCTAGCAATGTTTATATTCTTTGGATGAAACTCTGCAAGTCAAAATCATCTTGGGACTTGATTCCGAGTTACCAAAATAGAGTCAGTAGTTTAGAGATGTTTATGTGCGCAAATAACACACGTAAATTTAGCTGTGAGAATGTCTCTGAATGTATCTACCAGCTTTATCGTTCAGACAGAATTGGAAAGAAGTTGTAATAAAATGTATGATTGGAATTTGGGATGAGCACTGATAAATGATGACTTCATCGAAGAGCATTTTGTTTTCATTTTAACTCATGCATCACTTCCTCTCTGTTATCTTTGGTTTCCCTGGAAATGTACTTTATCTGCATCTTTGATCCTAGAAGCAATGTGTGTTTTTTTTATCCAATACATTTAGACTACCATGCACTACTAATATGATACATGTTATTCTTAGTCACATTGCAGTTCAAAAGTGTAACGTTCAGCTGTAAACCTTTTAGATGATCTGTGGTTCTACATCTTCAACTTATTTTACTTTGCAAAATAATTGTTTTCTATTTGCAGCTACTTTTTACCTCATTTTTGGATGGTTCTACATTTCCATGAAATTGATATTATACAACATCAGTAAGAATTAGTTATGTAGTAGGCTTACGTTGTACCAGTAGCTTATTAGAGGTTCTGTCTGGGCACAGGAGATTATTTCCCCAATATTAGGGTTAAATGCTCTCTTTACAGAGAGACGCACAAACACTCATATTTGTATTGCTCGCATCTTAGCTAAGATATGTGAAATTATTACTTTTGAAAATACATCATCATTTGTTGAAATCTGGCCTTCATATGGAACAACTGTTCATTGCGTAGTACCAATCCATGCAAGTAGCAGTGGTCAGTAGACTATTCACTGAATTGCAAAATACTCAGGATGTTTAAATTCTGAAGTCGTATGTTTTTTTTAGCATTCCATTTGCATTTAAGTAATATAGGAATTTTAAAATCTCTGAATATGGTGCTATCATTAACATCATTGGAAGTAGCCCAGAATTTCTGGCTCTTCTATTCACTAAATTGACTTGGTTTTTGTAGCTGTATTATATCACCATATCAAAGTTATCTCCTTTGCTTCTATATACAAAATACAGCATTTGAATCCACATATCTGCACGCAAAGATTTGTATTACAATATTTTTCAGATGATTTTCAATTTAGCTGCATATTTGAAAGCTGTGCAATGTATCAGTGATTAGCATTATACAGTTTGGCAGAAGAAAAAAAAACATGCCTTGTTGATGTGGAGTTATTTTTCATTGCATAGTGAGCTGATTCTACTTGAATGACAGTGACAGGTGTTAACTGGCCACCCCCTTCCCTCCAAATAGTTGAATCTATGAACCACTATTAGAAGCCCACCACCAAAATGAGATGGGCCATTCTATTTTTTGGAGAGGGGTGTGTGGTTAATAAGAGACATCTTGGTAAACAGGATTTTTAGTGCCAACTTTATGGTTGTGAGGCAGTAAACAATGTACTCATTCTCTCCCATTTTATTTATGCACATCTTGGTGTCAAAGGTCACAAGGTCAAAATACAGATGGACATATTTAAAAGCATGTGATCGTAAATCATTGGAAAACTGCTATTTTGAAGTCTTATGGGTTTTCCTGTCAAAACTTATGATTGATGTTTGTTACCACAATGAAACTCCTAAAAAAAACATTAATTGTCTGTGAACCAAACTATAAACATAGTTTTTGTTTCATTTTACAGTTGGGATTCAGTGAGAGACTCTGAGAGGCCGCAGCCGGAAATATCACCTAAACATTTGTGGAATTTACCAGGAAAATCATCCAAACATAGAAAGAAAACTAAAGAGAAGAATAACTTTGATAATCGCTACCTGACAAGCGACAGTTTCATTCTTCCTACACCGCCATCATCTCCAAGTGAGGACGAGTTAGAAATTGTGAACATTGAATTTCCACCACCGCCACCTCTGGAATTATTAATGAACGGGGCTTTGGACGATTCTGCCATTAAGCGTTTGAGTACAGCTGAGCCGGCGCCGACAACATTAGTAAGCAGTACTAGTGAAGATAATATCTTGGATAAAGTAGAGAAAGAGATGATGAAACATCCGCAGAGTGTTGTCCTGTAAGTAATGATAACTTTTCTATTTCGTTTATAGGTGTGTGGTTGTTGCACCATTTCATGTAAACAAACAATGTATTTGACATGAACTGTATAATATCAAGCATGATCCACCACAATGAAATATTCATAATCGCTAATTTTATGAATATCAGCTGATTTCCAAAACTTTTGTTTATTTTTATTTTATGCCATAGCTTAATAGCAGCCAATTTTAATTTGAGTGAAATTTTCGAACATTCATGTATGACTTGTAGAAAAAATTGACCTGTTTTTTTGGAGCTATTGGATATATGGAAAATTTGTTGCGAAATTAAAGTCATTTACAGTATGTGAAAAAATGAGATGAAAATGTGATCCTAGATTAAATTTAGTGTTGTTGTTTTTTTTAATTTCTTTTTTTAGGCCATCAGAAGTAAATAGTTATGGTGCTTACATCAACCAAAAACACGGATCCCGTGGACCTTTTGGAAGATACATGTCATCCCCGCGAAGTACATCAAGTTTACCAACTGGTACATCGCCTCCACCATCAAATACTGGAAAACGTTCACCAGACAAACAAATGTCACCAGAAAATACAGTATCACCAGGAAGAAGAACATCACCAGGCATAGAGAAAATAATTTTAAAGTCTGTGTCTCCCAAATCTCACGAAAGTAAAGTTACATCACCACCCTCCAAAGTCGATAGAAGTCCAGTCGGTATTAAATCACCAAACATACTTAGTACAAAGCTATCTCTGGAAAAGTCAACCAGTCCTAAATATCCGCCAACTAGTCCATTGGGTAAAAAACCAACTGAAATGAAGCCTGCCCCAAAGCCTGGAAGAAGTATTGTAAGTAGATATAGCTCGTCTGTCTCAGAAATCAAACGGAAGTACGAGAGCCAAGAGAAAGGTGGTCAGCAGTCTCATACTCCACCCCCGTTCATGCAGAAAACGCCTCCTATGAACAGTCCTGCAGAGAGCATCACTGAGGAGGCAGCCGATCGAGTTGATGCAGCAATAGTTTTGTCACCTGCCGTAGAGAAGCCATCGGCATCACCGCAATCAGAAAAACCACAAATAAAACATTTAGAATCTGTAAAGCCTGAAACCAAACAAGTTGAATTGAAGGAAGTTGAAAAACCGAAGGAGAAATCTCCCGAGGAACTGAAAACTGAGGAACTTGCGACTGATATTATTAGCAAGTCAAATGATAAAGATTTACAGCATATATTGCGTCCAACACAGAAGACAACGTCGGATTACATGGCGGGACTGTTTCCCAAAGGTAACAACGGATCACAATCAAAAAGGAAACGAAGCGTCAGCAGAATGAATGGGGAGAAGCCACAAGAAATAAAACCATCACCAAGGTAACTAAATTTATTCTATAATCATCATCATTATCATCTTTACGGTAGTATAAAGCTGTGTTTGTCACGATTACAAGACCTTCGTAAATATAGAACTCGTGTTATCATAGAAGGTTGCATCGTGCATAAAACATTAAATGGAGACATGTGTGGACGATAAACACATTTAACTCAGCTACGTTACTTTGGAGTAAATCCTAAGGTAGTTACTTTATTTGCCTGCACAACGAAATTATTACAACGTCATTTCAAATCTGTCACTATTTTATTTTCTCGTTTGTTTGTCCAATCTTCATGAATTAATTACAATGTCGTCTTTTAAAATATAATATATGGGGATTGTAAGTTGACAGCCCAAAGTATCCATGTGCAATAATGTCCTTGGAAATGCCACCAAGTTGTAAAAACATAAATAGTAACATATTTTGATTTATTGATTGTGCAGGGAGGACCTGAGTTTACTCCTTTCATATCTCAAGTTATCCGCCCCGAAAGCTCAGTTGTTGAACCAAGCCTTACTAAGTGAAGACAATGGTGAGGTACCTGCTGACAGTGAAGAACTCAACAAAAAAAAGGTAGCTATAATAATTATCTTGTAGCTATGACAACGATAATTATTATCATTCATTGTATATTGTTTACTGTGTTGATCTGTGTCGAAAGCATTGCATTCATGGAATTGGAACAAGCACTATGGTGTTTATCTCCAAACCAATAGCAACATTTACTCAAATATATACGTTCAACATTCACAGGAGGAGCTACTTGACAGCATTAAGAAGAAACTTGATGGTTTACGGGCAGAAAAAGAAGAAATCAATGAGGAGATTCATGCTAATAAAGAACTGGGTGAGATTGTAACGGAACAAGCCAAGTCTGTCTGCACACCGGCCGAATTCGGAAAGTTTGAATTGTTTGTGAATGAACTTGACAGTATTATCAATTTATTGTTATCATTATCTGGGCGACTTGCTCGAGCAGAAAATGTCTACAACAGTTTAGATGAGGACTGTATACCTGAACAAAAGGTGAGAAATATACAATATGGTTTGAGTTGTCAAAACTTGCATTAGAGAAATAAAATAAATGTAATTTCCATCTTTTTATAAACTTCTAGAAAAATCGATAGTCCCTGGTATGATGAGAGTACATCTACTGTACTATATGAAACCGCTTTAAATTTTCCCAAAAAAATATATGTTGTGAGTTTAGTGAAATTTGGTAGCAATGAAAATTTCACTGGTGACTAGGATTACCATAGCTGTATAAAATGCCATACCCCCTGGACACTATATTATCAAGTTGTGAAAATGTTCAGCAGTCTGTACTGTTTTCTGTATTTTGTGGTGTGCTGATTCTGAATATTAGTTTCACTTCATGAAAGTTGTAATTGGCCAGGGGAAAATTCTTCCATTTATTAAACATTCCATTTTCTTATTTGTGAAATGAATAACTCTAATCTAATTCTCTCCAACAGATTCAGTTGCAAGAGAAGATAGACAAATTGCGGACACAACATGAAGAGGCTACAAAATTAAAAGAAGGTATTGACAAGCGTCAAAACCAGGTATCAAATACCCTGATTGGTTATCTAAATAAAGAGGACTTCGCCGATTTTCTGCATTTTGTGAGCATGAAGACTGATCTGACAATGACCTCGCGACAGATTGATGACAAGATCAGACTCGGGGAAGAGCAGTTGCAAGCTTTGAAAGAGAGTATGCAGCAATGTGATAAACTAATGAAGCCTCTTTAAAACTGACAAGCAATTTGATTGGCTTAATCTGCTGTCTATGCTCCAATCAGGAACTGTGTTACTTCTTGAGCAGGAACTTCACAGGAACATTGACTTTGAATAATAAGCGAATGCCTGATTGGTGCTCATAGGATATTTTTTTTAAACCGAGCATCGATAATTCCCAAAATGCATTGCAAGCTGGCTATGTGGACTATCAGTTAATATGCATTGCTGTTGCCGTGAACGATGTGGTGCTGCCTTACATTTAAACAAATATATTTTAATTATTGCGTGCTGAACTAACATTTCAATTTGCCTTATGAGGTCATAGTTCATGTGAAATGATAATGAAAATGAATTATTTTTAGAAATTCTTTTTTTTTAATCGATATTTGAAAGCATGACTGTTTTATTTTATTTCATTGTTTTTAAAGAGTACAGGAAGCTTTGAAAGTCTTATGAAATAGTTTTATGTGAAATGGTCAGACCCGATTTTGGGGGTCACACCATATTGTTGATAAGGGTTGCAAAAGCAGGTTATTGTGGGAGTTTTGATGTGCCAAGTTGTGCGTATTTACATTGTGAAAATATTATGCCTTTTCAGCCAAACGGTTGCAGTGCCAGTACCTGTTGCATGCTGGGCTTTCTGTTTTCTCGCTTGCATGGCTGCATATCTCTTCCTTGCCATGGTTTATAAACCAGATTAAATATTCATCCAAGCCAATCAGCTGATGGAAGATTCCACTCAAATCTAGGAGTGATAGGGGGAGCCTGGCCACTGTGTGTATATATATATATATAATAATAATAATTGTATGGGGTCTATATTGCGTGCCTTAAAATATTTTCTAAAGTAATAACATTTTATATTGCCTTGATTTATGAAATATTACAAACCATTAATTATTGGTGCTTCTTGACTCTATATAGTCACGATGCTATCAAGATAAAACCCTGCTCCTGTACTTGTTCTCCCAATACATAAAATAGGCATGTCCACTGTTGATTAAGATTGACACACATATAGATATTGCTCATTTTTCAGAAATTACTAGTCCATTATTAAATATATTTTTTTTTCTATGTCCATTCATTGGCAATATCAATGTCTAATGCTTGGTGCAACTGTTGTAAATATATATATAGATGATTTTATATTCATACATCAAATTTTACGGAGACAATTAAAATGCAAACAAGGCCTCTGTAAATTCTAACTTAGCCCTCTCTTTCCTCATCCTACACCCAACACAACCCATTGGTACTGGTGATAAAGCCCTTTTCTTGGCAGGTACCATTATGTTCCTTGGGGTTGATTTCTATTATAAACCTGCTGTCAATTTGTTTGTAAAGATAATGAAATTCTGCATAATGTGTTTTTTTTTTTTTTTTGACTGCTGAGCTTTTCACACTGCACTGCAAGGAACAACTTTCATTTAATAATCAAATTATATAGTGGACATGATCTATCAAAGTGCCCTTTTAACCCAAGTCAAAAATTAGTATAGTCTGCACCAACTGGTGAAAATAAGTTCATTTTTAATATCTTAAATGTACAATTTTTGCTAAAATTGCAATTGATGAAAACAGAACTTCATTTTAGGGACAATTTCACCTGCCATATCTGCTAGCTTTGCTTGCGATATTTTAACAAAAAAAACAAGCATCTCATTGTTGTCATAGTAACCACTGTTAACCCGCAAGTGTGAAACTTAGACACATATTATTAGTTTGACGATTTACTTTTTTTTTTAAGAAAAAAAATTTGATACAATTATCTGCATGCCTGTGAAAACAACGAATTTCAAGATTTTTCTTCAAATTCTAAATTAATATATTTAAATATATGAAAACATGTACATCTTTTTTTTTCCCCTTCTCATTCCATATTTCAGTTTTCGTTCATTCTCTGGGATTTGTTTTATACAGGGAACTTCATACGCTGCCTAGTAGTATTTACTTCCACTCCATTCTGTGGGAACTTTCTCAGAAAAGCTTTCATGGTGTTTTTTTTCATGTACCTAGTATTTGTATATTTGGGAATTTTTCTATTTTCTTTAAAATATTACAATCTCTTTATTTAATTTCAACTGAAGTACATGTCTTGTTTTGATTTGGATATTTTTAATTTTGGGCTAAATGTTTTATTTGTCCAAAGTTAAAAAAAATACATCAAAGTTCTCCCATGCTGAAGTTTTTGCTTGTCACAAGTTGTATCATGACTTTTAGACAAGTTTTTACACAGTACATTTATCCAATTTTAAACAGAAGTTTCATTCTCTTAACAGCATCATTCATTGAAATAGCGAAGTGTTACATTTTCGTCTAGATTAGAAATATAAAAAAAACAAGACTTGAAAGTTGCCACCCTTGAAGGGCATTCATAACTTTGCAAGGGGCGGTGGCTTTTGTTTTGTCATTTTTAGAAGAAAATAAAACCAATTACCTTCTTCAAAATGAAGGTTGTGTTGAGTTGCATACTAAGTAAGAAAGCAGCTATCTATTCCAATACAAAGGTGGAGAAAACACTAGTTTTTGCAGCTACCTGTCTATGTAGATATCTTGTACATCATTCACTGTTGGAATAAAATGTGTGGCTCTATTACAAATAACCTGTAGTGCATTTAATTGTTACCAACTGATGCTGTTTCCATTCATTAAGACTGACCATGGAGGTTTTCAACAGGTGATTTACTTCTAATATCACAGAACTCAGTGGGAGGTTTGATTGCGTAAACTGAAATGAATCTCCCCACATTCAAAAACATGGACTGCACATGTTACACTTTGCAAATAACCAAGAACACTGCAAAAACTGTTCAGTAATTTTGAATTAGGTTTCACTTGCGACTTAAATTCACACAATCTTTATCACATACCCCATCTTATAAATTTTTGGAGTTTTCAATCTCATCTTGCTAGCAATTGTCTGCAATATCTTTGACAAATTTGCATTGACCAGATGCTGAAAGAACTGTCATGGCTGGCAATTGAGGGCGCTTTATTCAACTCTTGGCATGACTAACTTCATACACAAGCGATAAAGGCACACCTGTGTGCAATTCAAATCACTAAGAACGACTATTCACAAGTTGTCTGTTTCA